GCCCTCCCACCTGCCCCCTCCCATTGTCTCCCATGAATTCTAGTTATCTGTGTGCACTAGAAGGAAGAGCCTTCAACCAGGCGGCAGTCATGTGTCTCCTACAAAAATCAAACTGTTCCTTGAGGATCCATCATGGGCAGGCCCTGGGTTGGAGGCCAAGAACCTGCAGATTCCCTCTCGATGGAGCTCATGATCTGACTGGGGACAGAGTGGACGCTATACCACAGTGATACTTGGAATACAACATGACATAGGGGGTACACAACATACATTTTCTGACTGAACAGGACTAAAGAACTAAAGCCAGGGTGTTAAAGGAGCTCACAGGAGGGCCTCTGATGTCAGTTCAATCCAGAAATCAAAGAAGGCTTCATGAAGGCGACCATGCCTATCTATGTCACAAAGAATGAGTAGGAGTAGGTTGGCAGATTGGGGGAGGCATGGGGAGAGGCATTCCAGACCAAGGGAAAATGTCCAATAAATGCCTGGCAGTGGGTGGAAAATGCTTAGCAAAATAGTTAAGCCATTGTCAAGTGCATTGAACTAAGCTGCCTGTGGAAACTGACCACACATGATGCTCCTGGAAGGGCCAGTTACACTTGAATGCTCCAGCCACCACCGCCATCACGGTGGACTCCTCATGGCCCCCCACACCTTGCAGAGTTGGCCTCCTCTCCAGCAGCCAGGCCCTGGCACCCACACGCTGCTCAGGGAGTAGCTGCCCAATAGAGGACGTACTTTTCCATGGCACCAGCCAGTTGCTAGGAATCTCGAATTACCTTGTGGTTCCCAACACTCGTTTTCACCAGCAGTCATCTGGCAGGAACATTTTTCTTTCTTTTAAAAAACAATTTTTTTTTAATGTTTACTTACTTTGAGAGAGAGAGAGAGACAGAGAGAGACAGCACGAGGCAGAGAGAGACGGAGACACAGAATCTGAAGCAGCCTCCAGGCTCTGAGCTGTCAGCAAAGCCTGACACAGGGCTCGAATTCATGAGCGGAGAGATCATGACCTGAGCCAAAGTCCAACACTCAACCCACCGAGCCACCAATAACTAGATGAAATTATTCTTTTGTGGAACTCGAAGTCCAAATAATCCCAGTGGGAAAATTAGGCACAGGAGACAGTTTACAAGTATTTGCCTCTGGCTGCTCTGCATTTTCCTCCTCCTTCCGCTCACAGAATTAAAGTGTTCAGGGTTCTTTGGAACCTGGCTCTAAATGGACTCAAAGAAATTACAACGTCAGGCACTGGGGGTAGCTGGGTCGTGCCGCTGCACAGAGAACGCGTGGGAATCATCTTGGGGAGTGGCAGCGGAGATAGGGAGTTGCTGTCCTCTCCAATCCCCACAGAGCCCTTGACACACTGGACTTAGTCTGCTCTTTGATATCCGGGCAGCGTGACCTCACGGCAAGGGCATGGGGCCGGAGCCAGATGAAACGGAGATGAACTGCAGCCTCTCCTCTTACTGGGTTTGTTTGGGGCAAAGAATCTCCTCTGTAAATTCACTTCCATGGGAAAAAGCTGGTACCGCAGGGTTGCTGGGAGACAGTGCTGGGCAACTGTGAACTGTATCAGTTCTGGTTCCAGGACATGGAGGTTGAGTCATGGCTCTGTCACTTACCTCTCTCAACCTCTTCTGCTTTGGAGGTTAGACGACATACCTAAATCCCTGACCTTACATTTTTTTTTACTGACAGTGTAAGGCTAGGTTTTAGCCATACAAGGAACTACTCAGCGGCTGCTAAAATTAGTTTTAAATAAAGCCAATCTCTGTATGTTGATAGCAAAAGACCCCAAGACTTATTGGGTAAGAAAAATATATATAGCCTAAACGGACATGGTCTGCATTTTGTGTAAATAAAAAAAGGATATATGTGTTTGTGCACATACGTCTGGTATGTGCTTACATCTGTAGAATTCGTATTTTTGGAAGGATATGTAACTGCTAATTTAGGGGAGAGACTTTAAATTTTCCTTTTAGGGATGCCTGGGTGGCTTAGTCAGCTAAGCATCCGACTCTTGATTTTGGCTCAGGTCACGATCCCAGGGTTGTGGGATCAAGCCCCAGGTCGGGCTCCACACTGGCTGTGGAGCCTGTTTAAGATTCTCTCTCTCTCGCTCTCTCTTTCCCTCCCTCCCTCCCTCTGCCCCTCCTTCTCATGCTCTCTGGCACACGAAGGTGCTATCCAATCAAATCAAATTTCCTTTTGTCCCTTTCTACACTGTTGGGACTTTTCTGTCCACATGCAAATATATCTTTTGCTTTGAAAAATGGGAATTCCCTGGGAAGTGAGATTATGGACCATTTTTGTTTTCATACTTTTTCTGCATCAAATGAAACTAAAAAAATGTTACTCTACCTTGTAAGATAAATTGAAGAAAAGTCAGAGAAGAAACATCTTGCATGCAGGAGATTTTCAAGAGATGCTTGTTAAATTCACACTTGCAGACATGATGTAAAAAGCCCAAGACTAGGGGGACAGATATCCAAGGCTTAGACTCTAGCTCCACCATTTATCCGCCATATTGTGTTACTGGTGAATCTCAGTTCTCTCATCTATAAAGCAGGTGGATTTATACGAATAGGTAAAGTCAGATGACTGTATGGATTAAACGAATCATGAATGCATCTAGTCCAGATCCTGGTACACAGTAAACCATGTTAGTAGAATGGCTGGGGTTGGAGGTGTAATATTAATCTTTGCACCAAAGAACTTAAGATTTGTCAGAGTAGGTGACCTTACCCAAACACATGCAGGGGATCTGAAACCCTGTTTTTTTAAAGTCGGCTCCACGTCCAACGTGAGACTTGAACTCAAGACCCTGAGATTAAGAGTCACATGCTCCACCAACCAAACCAGCCAGACACCCCAATATGAAACCAAATTTATACCACTGTTCCTACAGTTTCCTCAATTCCACATTAAGGGTCATCTGTGGCAAATCTGTGATGAACTGAACTGTCCTGTTAAACCGGTAGTTCTCAACTAGGGGCAAATTTGCCCCCAGGAACATTTGGCAATGTCTGGAGACGGTTTTGGTTGTTTCATCAGTGGGGTGCTACTGGCATCTGGTGAGTAGACTAGGGATGCTGCTAAACATCTTATAATAAACAAGACAAGCCCCCACAAGAGAGAACTGTCTGGCCTCAAACTGCCAATGTTGAGAAAATCTGTGCTAAGGTCACTCAACTCAGGACACCGCAGGGCCATAAAATCCCTAAGGTGGTAACTTTTGGGTCCTCCTGTAAAGTTGGCTGTTTACTTACACACTGTATTCTAGATCGAAGCAGCTGAGAAATTGGTACTGGCCAGGAAATTCTTAACATCGGGAGTCCCTGATCCCTGCAGACTAATAGAAATACCTTCATGATGCTCCGAACAAACTGAAATATTGGAGATATTCTGACCCCGTCACAGTTACAAATTCCTTTGCCAATCTTAAATTTTACCTAGAGGTAGGAAAGCTTAACCTAAGGGGCACCCAGCTGGTTCAGTCAGCAGAGCGTGCGACTCTTGATCTCAGGGTTGTGAGTTCGAGCCCTACATTGGGTGTAGAGATTACTTTAAAATAAAAGTTTTAAAAAGAGAGAAAAGCTTAATTTAGTCAAGAAAAGGCACAGCTCACTATTCTGTATGTTCTCTACTCCCCAAGAATTTCCAGGCTTTTTTGCTCAAGGTGGGATTCCATCCAGTGATCTGCTTAAGTTCAGTTGCAATCTCACTTCCCTAACTTGGCTATTTCCTCCCTTCTCTGCTGTTAGCGTATTTTTAAAATAGGAAACGTGTTTTCTTAGTGCTATCTCAAAACCAGATACCAAAAAGGGAAGACTAGTTTTACTTAAGCGATCCTACCAATATAGCTTGAGGTCTTCCTCTCCCCTCAAAAATTATACATTTCCTTAATTCTGGGTTTTATAGTTGTATCCTAGCTTCTAGACCAGTCCCATGGGCTCAGCAAGTTATTAAAACACCAGCAGAATAAACAGGATTTCCAGCTTGGAGCTAACGGGTCCCTCGACCAAAGATTAGTTTCTGAATTGGCACCAAGTTGGTTCCAGGAGCAGATGTACAAATCCAAGAGCCAGGCCACAGAGGCAGAAAGGTTCCTCAAGACTGGGTCACGCTCAGGAAAAGCAACTGCCCTTTAATGTCTGCCTGTCCCAACCACAGCGACTGCTCTCTCAGCAGTCAGCTGGGGCACAGGTCTCCACACACACAAAGCCAGGATGCCCTGTTTCAGGAAGAGCAGGAGAGAACAGTCAAACGGCTGTAGAGTGAGTTCTGAGGGGAGACAAACTATAGAACAGTGATGGAAATGGATCAAGAACAAATCAAACAGATCCGTGTAAGAGTTACCTCTTAGGACCTTGTTTTATCCATTTTTTTTAAGTTTATTTATTTTTGAGAGAGAACGTGAACAGGGGAGGGGCAGAGAGAGAGGGAGACACAGAATCTGAAGCAGGCTCCAGGCTTTGAGCTGTCAGCACAGAGCGTGACGTGGGGCTCGAACCCACAGACCGTGAGATCATGACCTGAGCCGAAGTCGGACGCTCAACGGACTGAGCCACCCAGGCGCCCCGATCCCTCAGTTTTAATTTAAATTCTGACTGGGGGTGCCTCAGTCCGGTAAGCGTCTTGACTCTTGATTTCAGCTCAGGTCATGATCTTGGGATTCTCTTTCTCCCTCTCTCTGCTCCCCACCCCCACTTGTGAACTCTCGGGCTCTCTCTCAAAATAAACAAACTTAAAAAAAATTCTGGGGTGCCTGGAGTCCCCGCTTTCTCTCTCCCCTTCCCTCTCTCTTTGTGCCCCTGGCTCACTCTCTCTCTTAAGAAAAAAAAAAAAAAAAAGAATTAAAAAAAAAATCTGAATAACACAAAGGCATGGGCTGTTCCTATCTTATGTCTAGCTCACATCTACTCCTGATAATTGTCTCACCTTTCTCAAATGCTGAGTAAAGAGCTAAACTGGTAAATCACCACAGGACACTGTGATTAAGGACCAAACTTTAATATTTCAAGGGCGTCTCAAACGAGTTTACTGGATGGGGTTACAGAAGCTTCCATTCATGCCACCACAGCAAGAATCAAGAATTCTGAAAGTTGAAGCGATTAGCTCTTTGGATACATAACAATATATTAAAGCATGTCAGAAAGTGCAAAAAAGGAGGCATTGGGCAGAGCAAAAACAAGCAACAGGCTGATTGTCCTAACAGGAGGGTAGAGAAGCTCTTTCCGGAGCTCAGTCCCCGGAATTAGAGCTGCCTCAGCCAGAGGGAGGTCCAGACATGGGTTTTGACGGATTATTACAACTAGTCAAAGCCAAGCTCAAAAAAACCGAGGCTCACATTTCCCCATGACCGCGACCGGCTCTTGCAACAACAACGAGCACCTCCGGTGACTTCTCACGCGCAGGCTGAGCAAGGACCCGGCGGCAGGACTCAGCCGGTGATTCTGACCCCGGGCTGACATCTCTGGGCCCGAGCTCGGAGCTCCTCGGGCAGGACAGCCTGGAACTGCTCCTGCACCAGCATCTCCACAATCTGCTCCTTTGTGTGAATATCGGGTCTCAGCCACTGTCCAGCAAGCTCCTGCAGATGTCGGAGGACCTCCCTGGGCCCGGCTGCATCCTCATAGCGGAATTTCCTGAACCTCTGCCTGGAGGCTGCAGCGTTGGGACGATTCCTTCGTGGCATGGTCTCAAGGTCTTCGACAGAGTCTTCATCGAGGCTCTCTGGTGGAAGCCCGGAAGGCTCTCGCGGAACCTGGACCTGGGGAGCTGATATGAGGACAACTTCTGACTCCTCGGCCACCATCTCATTTGATGGTGGCCTTATTTTATCATTCTGGACTTCTCTATTTCTTTGTGTCTCTAAGTACCCTTCAGTCTCCATTCTGGGACTCTGGAAAAGGATGTCTCCGGCTCCTAAACACAGAGAAAAGACAGGCTCAGCGAAACAGACCCCAGAGACTGTTAAAACCACCTTGATCTCACGGATCTGGTCCAGATCCAGGTTCCATCCGCTTTCCAATCTCAACAGGGTTTCTTAATAAAGGTCCTAGAAATTCTATTTTTGTTTCTTCTGGATCAATGGACACAACGGAGAAAAATGTGTCAGTGGTTTACCAAAATGAAGACTGTAGATTCTCAAAGCACAAAGGATGGAGAGCACTGGCCTCGCTAGCTAGAGAACCTTCTGGACAATCTTTCACCCATTTTCCCCGCATTACAAAGTATTTTACATTATGTTAAAACAGAGAACTATGTATGCATATGTTTTATAGGGGGGGAAAATGTTTAAAACCAGGGGTGTTTGCGTCCTCCAATGTCTTTTATGGAGTTATGTTATGACCAAAAGCAAGTTATGAGAAAGGACTAAACTGTAAGAGATAAAAGTCTGTTCATGTACATCTACCCTTCATTTACATCTACTCTGCGGTCTTTTCTACCCCACCTCCCCATCTCTTTCATGATCAAAGAGTAACAAGGTTTAAAAGCACTTTGGGAGCTACCATCAGGGTGGAGCCTAAGCCCCCTCTTCACAAAGAAAGAGAGAAAAGACTAGAAAAGAAAAGCTTCCACGTTAAGATTAAGATCTTAAGTTCCTCTACTCAGTGTACAGGAAACTGACCTAGTCAGAATCCTGGTAGTGCAGACTCCCAACTCTTGGGATGCTTGTCAGCAAACCAGATGTAGTGGGGAAGGGGGGAGAGGCGCACCAAGTACCTGTAAAATGCCAGAAAAAAAAAAGGCTTTGCTTCATTTGGGTTAGGGCCCTAGTCCAAGAGAAGGGTTATTTACAGGAAAACCACAATCTATGTTATCTAAAGAGAGAGAGAGAGAGAGAGAGAGAGAGAGAGAGAGAGAGAGACTTCAAGTGACAGTACAGAAATGACCAAATTAATTTCTGTATCAGGGTATGTCCAATCGAAGAGTGTAACTCCTAGAATAGTGGTCAGTTTTCAAAGACCGTCTCTTTTTTCATGAACAAACTCCTTCCCCCAAGAACGAATCCCTCCTTAGTCCACGTGGCAGAAGTGTCCATGTTTAAAATCCCTCCCTCAATCTCTCAAACCAGTTTCCTGGGTAACAACTGACAGAGGCCAACAATCACCAACACTGACCAGCTGCTTTGCATTAACTAGTTCTCAGCGCCTAGTCACCTCTTCTCTAAACGTTCCATGACCCATTTTCTAGGAGCCTTGTACCGATTCTAGACCTTGAAGTTTGGATACTCCTGGAGTACACCTGTTCTTCCCACATTATCTGGGTTTTTGTTCAATCAACAGAGTGTACTCTCCCCAAAAGGAAGTTGTTACTAACCTAGAGTGAACGAGGATCAAAGCAAAATATCCCCATAACTCAGGGGTACCTTGGATAAAAAGGAAATATTTAGTCAAAGAAAGGTTGGATGGAATGTGAGAAAGCAAAATCCTGGGAACAACCTAACTGACCATGAACAGGGAAATAATTAAAGTATCATCAACCATTCAGCAGAAAATACAGTGCAGCCTTATAAAGAATGAAGTCAGCTGTGAGTGCTGATACATCCACACGTCCACGACACGGCACCCAAGATGCAGATCACTACGTGTAATATGACCCCACCTGAGGAAATTAAAATACATACACATAAGCATACATGGCCTGCTCTATCCACAAACACCTTCAATTATATTTACTTCTTAGGGGCAGGGACAGAAGACAGAAACATTTTTCATTCCATAGCTTTCTATACTGCGTTCTTTTTAACTACAACCACGTCTTACTTTCATAACGACTCAAGAGGAAGCAAACATTCCCCTCCTGCCCAAAACCTTTCTGAGTAAAAAACCCCTAACCCACTTAGGAAAACACCCTTTTACTAATTCTTCTAGCTCTTAGCACCAGAGGTGTTTACAACCCGGACTTCTAAGAATAGTCTCCATTGTCAGGCCAGTTCTCAAGGCTGGCTCTGAAACACGGACCAACTCTACGCCTCACCCCGCTTATAAATCCTATCAGTTTTAGAAACCCAATGACCAGACACAATGCTTACCCTCATCAGTTAATAATTCCTATTTACTGAGCACTTACTTCCTAGCTGACACTGTGCTGAGCATTTCACGTTCTCTTCTACGAGATCCCCTCAGCCACTCTCAACTCTCCACACGACTCTCTACTGCCCCGGCCGTCTCTGTTAACAACAGCAGCAGCCGATGTTATTTGTTGAATTTTACAGGCCAAACGCTCTGCGGAAGCTGTCCCTCACCCAAGCAATCCTCCCGATAACCCAGGATGACATTTTCATTCGCAAGTAAACAAACTGAGGCTCGACAAGAAGGGATTTGCCCAAGATCACAAGGCCAGGAGGTGGCGGGGCTACTCAACCGCGTAGAAAATTCCCGGCTTCTAGGCGGGGAGCTGCGTCGGGCTCCTCCCACCATATGGGCGCGGCTCAGGGGGCCTAGGTGGGGCCGGAAAAGCGCTTCTGGGGCTCCAAACCAGGACCTCCTCCTCCCGGACTGCAGCGAGACCCTGAGCCACGCCAGCCCGGACAGCCCGCAGACCCGCAAAGCAGGGCTTCCCCGCTCCGAAAGCGGCCGCCGCCGCCGCCGCGGCCCCCGGCTCCCCACAGATCGTGCGCCGGGGAAGGAGTGACGGGCGAGAGGGAAGAAGGGAGGGAGCGTTCACCTGCGCAGGTGCCACCTCGGAGGGCAGGGGGCAACGGGGGCGGGGGCGCCTGGCGACCAGACTCGAAGCCCGAAACCGACTCCGAGGAAAGGAAACCAACTACCCAGCGCAGAGCTTTGTAGCCCGCCGCCGGAACCGGAAGTGGCGGCCCGCCGGAAGTTAGAAGTGAAGGGGGGGGGGAATAGGGTAGAGGGGGTCTCTCTAGGGCCCGGTGGTGCTTCGTAGCTCCATGGTTTTAACCCGTGGTGGGCTTTGGGCCTTCTTCAATCCACAGGCCTTCCTACCGCGTGGAGCTGTGGGTACTGCCTAGGCAGCCTCTCGGCTTCTGGGAAGTTCTCTGCTTCTCTGAGCCCCAGTTTGCCCAGCTGCAAAATGAAAAGAAGTTGAAACGGGAATTGAGACACTCCAGGAGCCGGCCCGCAGCTGACTCAGCGCCCCACCCTGAGGTTACACCCTTGACTCTTTGCACCACCCAGAGGAAAGAAACCAACATAGAGGGCTGGGTGGCTGCTGTTTGGAAACCGCGATCCTGTGTGGCGTCCCGTGCAATCACCCCACGTGAGGCGGTGGGCACAGTCTAATAAGTACCCCTGCGTCCGTGGACCCAGACAGAAGTGGGCATGTGCCACGTGGGTTTGTCCTTCTGTCCAGGGGAAGATCCTGTGTATAGAAAGCTCGGTCTCAGCCCTGTGTCCCTCTTACCCCCCAAGACTTTCCAATTGCTGACGGTTAAGAATTGAAGTTTTGAAGTCACACTTAGCTGGTTTGAGTCTGGGTTTAGCCTGGAGTTGAGTCGGGGGCATACATGTTAAAATAGCACAGCATGTAAGAGGAAGTGCAAAGATGCTAAGGCAGCCCTTCCACGTCGGTCTTAACCCTGAAGGGGAAGGGACTTGGCCAAGGACAAGGCACTCAGGTGGCCCAGCCGGCTCTCCTCCCATTTGCCCTATCCAAATGGGACATGCTAGGGAATTAAGAGGGGCACTCCAAAGACCCCTCCCGGGTTATCACCACCTCCCAACCCTCTCTACCCCTCTCCCTAACCTCTCACACCCCCCACCTCACCCCACTCCCAACCAATGTCGCTGGGGAAGAGAAGATGTGCCTTTTGTCTACACTGCCACTGCTGGTTAGTAACCCCCTAGATTGCCAGGTTCTCCAGCTGGTGGTTGGATAACCAGGCTCCTTGCTATGGCCCCACCCCTACCTCCACCACTGTGGACCCTTCCCCCACTCACCCCTACAGGGTAGTTTCCACGTTTCACTCCCTCTCAGCCTTGGTTTCCCCATCTATAAAATGAGAGGGTTGGACTACATTAAAGACTTCCAGTTGTACACCCCACCCCATCCCATTCTTAGGTTCCCGGGGAATGCTTCAGGAAACTGCTGGGGTGCAGTGGGGGTAGGGGATGGTTTAAGTCCCAGAGCAGCTCCGATTTTAAAGGTTTATAAATTTATATGAAAAGTTTATATGTTGTGGCTCCGTGTAAGATTATTGTATCACTCAGGATAAAATGTAAACTTTGCACTTTGCCCCACATTCCTCATCTTTCCCCATCCTCCTGTTCACTCACTGCTCCAGGCACAGTGGCCTTGTAATTATTTTGCAAACCCAGGAAGTTCATTGTCACCTCTTTGGTGACTCTGCTCGTGGGGCTCTTTCCTGACATCTGTTCATCAAGGATCCAGTTCAAATGTTGCCTCTCTCGAGCAACCTTTGCTGTCCCCCCTCTTCTAAAGGCACCCATGCAATCCCTTTATAGCCTGTCAATCTGTATTGTTATTATCTGTTTATTTTCTATTTCGCCCACTAGGCAGTGGCCACAAGGCCAAAGACCTTGACTGTCCTGTCCCCATGTCTCCAGCACCTGAAGCTGAGCATAGGCCGGGTGGACATCTGTTGAATGACTCAATGAGTGAGTGAATGAACAGAGAAGGCTTGAATTTTATGATAAAGCCAGCCTGGTGAAGACCACCAGGGACACAGGTATAGTTTAACAAAGTTAAGTTTATTGACTTCATGCCACAAGCATCCAGAGAAACCATGGGGTGTCTCATGAAAGAAAGGAAGAAACAGGGTTATTATTGTAGGATTTGGGGGAACTTTGGAATTTAGGTGAAATTGAAACGAAGCAGTGTTGACAGGCTCAAGGCAAACTTGGTCTTGTAGAAAGAGGTTAACATCTAGCTTGAGACCAGAAGTGGATTCATAGCTGTGTTTCCTTGGACACTGCAAAGTTAAGATAAATATGGACCGTTGTGTCCGAAACCTCTTGTCTGAAGCTCTGCACCTGGGGTGGTAATCCACGCTGCTTCTCTGTGTCAAATCTGGCTCTGACCCACTAGACAAGGGTGGGATTCTTCATCTCACTGACCCGATCTCAAACAGCAAAGTTCCTCAAAACTATGTCTTTGGTGTTAATTGACAAAAGAAAGTTAGATTCACATTGGACAGGAATCTCTTGACGTCTCAATCATCTGGATGTGAGGGCCATCCAGGGCTCCAGTCTTCCCATCCCAAGGTGACCCCAGCCCCCTGGGCTCCGCATCACTCTGAGCCTTCATTAGAACACTGAGTTAAGCCTCCAGCCCCGCTTGGGTGTACCTGTCAGATTCCCAGCCAGACTCTGGGCACATCAAGGGCCTGGCCCAAGTTTGGGTCATCTTCTTCTGCCCATGCCTGCCACAGAATACCCAAAGGTGCTCAATCTATGCCCATTGAATCCAGCTGTTGGTAAGTCTAATGAATGGAAAGAAAAAGAAGTGGAAGGAAGCATACCAAAATGATAGCGGTAGCTGTGTAATGGGTGTGGGAATGTGAGTGGTTTTTTTTTTTAAATCTCCCAAAAGGGAAGTTCCTAACATGTAACCAAGATTAATGTTATGAAAAAGGAAAAGAGAATGGCGTTGCTGACTCTTCTAAGAAAAATGTATTGACATTTGAATGAGTTTTGAATGAGAACAAAATTGTCGACACATTTTGATTAAAGAGAAGGGAACGCAGCACCGATCCTTTATATTTTCTGAGGGAATTCAAGTATTGACATTGTACTTTTTCAGAAGGTGGGTTTTCCTCATGATTTAGAACACACACACACACACACACACACACACACACACACAGTCGTTGGCATTGACACTCTAATCATTACTCAAAAAATTAAATTATTGGAGCGCCTAGGGTGGCTCGTCAGTTCAGCATCTTTTACTCTTGATTTTTGGCTCAGGTCATGATCTCATGGTTTGTGTGTGAGAGCCCTGTGTCGGGCTCTGTGCTTGACAGCATGGAGCCTGCTTGGGATTCTCTCCCTCCCTCTCTCCCTGCCCCTCCCCAGCTCACTTGTTCTCTCTCTCTCTCTCTCTCAAAATCAATAACATTTAAAAAATGATTGATTATATGGTTTTTAAAGGATTTGAATTGTCAAGACTTGGAGATTAAAAAAAGAGCATTAAATTATTGCTGAAACTGTTGGCACTTTTAGGCAAGATTTCCTAACTCCCCGTTGCCCACACATGAGAAGGGTGTCGGCAGGTCTCGGCCCCATCCTGAGGCGGGGTGGAGGGCCCGTGACGGCCTACTTCCCAGC